CTGCTAGGATGAGGTAGCCAAACTAGTAAATGGTGAACCCATAATATGGCTGCATTCCATGAGAACTCTAGTCAAAAGCAGAACTTAACAGGACATCAAGTTAAGACATAAGAAGCAGTAGAGGGCTGATACTGACATACTGACCATACATTAAGGACACCCCCTGTACACCCCCTATTTTGATAGGTACCCTGATATAATGGCAAAATGGAGTTAACCAATTGTATACAAAATAGTAGAGAGGGGGCATCTGATTTCTTCCAGCTCATCGCAATAGCCTTCCGAGCATAGAAGAAAAGGAGGCCCAACAAGGTCCTTTTAGCCATTGTGGGTGCCAGATCCTCTACCAAACCCAACAAACAGAGGAGGATCGGAACATGGATAGATGTGATAGAGGTAATCCACTACTGCACTCATAAGGTATGGTTTTAGGACAGGTCCAAAATATACGAAAAATGTCCCCTCCAGTAAACCCACAATGCCAACATGCCAAATAAATTGTTGGCATAAGCTTGTGAAGCCGTGAGGGGGTACTGTAACTGTAGCAGTTTAAATTGAATGAGTTTATCCCGAACAGCAATCAATTCTTTAAAAGCTAAGTCCCAAACTTCCATCCAAAGCTTGTTGTCCAGTTCCAGTATATCTAGTGGCCCCTTTGCATGTAGAGAGTAGTAATCAAGAGGGCAAATTGGTAAAAAGTGGAAGTGGGTTTAAGAAGTGAGCCTGATCGAAATAAGCTTTCACATGAGGTACAGCACAAGTCCACTGACCGCTGAGGGAATTGGGCACCAAAGGCACGGGCAAGCTGCAGATATCTGTACTAATGGGTAATAGGCACTGAGTAACTATTTAAAAGAGTAGAGAAATGAAGCGAAGATTGCTCCCTCACAATAAGGGACAGGGTCTTAATACCATATTTCGCCCAACCCTGTGGGTCAGGTAAAGTGTAGAAGTGAGGAAGAGATGGATTTCTCCATAGTGGGACATGTGGGGAATAAGTGCCAGATGGCTCGGGGGGTCCATCCAGTGCCAACTCTTCAGACTTTAAGGGTAGTAGTAAGCATAAGAGGGTTAAGAGGATATGGGGCACTGGATCCGTGAAACAGCAGACACTGAAGTGCGTCAAGCGAGCCAAGGATGGCTGCCTCCAACGTATGCCCGCCTCTTTAACATCAATGCGTTTTGTGCACATAGTCCACTTCTTTAGGAGGGATAATCAAGTCTTTATTCACACAACCATCTAACATTGAAGGTTCCACCCATGCTATTATTCTCTGGGCTGAATTGCTTTGTGTCACATTGAGCCAAATTCATGAAAGTATGAGAACATTTTGTTCCTTCATTTATTGCTGAATTAATAACATAAATAAGCAGGGTTGGATTTCATCTATTTGGCAAGCCTTTTCTCTATTGTGAGAGGCCAGGCAGATTTCAGCCCAACCTACTAATTGGGCTTAAATCTGCCTGACCTAATGCCATCTATACACTAATAGTGACCAGTCTAGACTAATGCCATCTATACACTAATAGTGACCAGTCAGCTGAAGGCCAAGGGGCATATCAGAGGCCTACCAGTAGCAGTTAGTTAGGTTTTTTGACAGCTAATGATAGGATTAGTGGCCTGTATTAGTGGTAGTCTTCTAACTGTCCCCTATTACTATAAGGGTGGTTGAACATTCAGCACCAACCACTATTATTGTGTATATAGTGGTCAGCAGTCCTGCTGCACTAGAACAGATCCTCTGTAGTATGCCCACAGATCTAGGTCTGTAAATGAGTAATACATTTTGTGGCATGCATGGCAGTTTGCTTCGTTGCAATGATTTATAGATAACTCATATACTGTAGCAATCCCATGGCACTAAAGCTCCCTACTTATAATAAGAGCTTTCTGAAATGTATAAAGTAATCTTACCAGACGTATAATAGTATACAAGATGAAATCCAGAGACACGTTACAGACATCTTTCCAGTTGCTAACTGGACGTTCATCAGAAGGTAAACTTGACAGGTTTAGAGACTTCTCCAGGTTATAAAAACTGCAGTTACTGTCACCATTGACGTTACCTGTACAAAATAGGAAGAGAAAAGTTCAATTAAGATATACTGAGTTCATGAAGTCTGCAACCTATAAAACTTTGTATTGAAAGAAAATATCTGATGATTATTTCATTTTTTTCCTTATAAAAAACCCAGTCTGTATGTTTTATACACATGAGTTTTCCTGCTGTATATTTAGCACAATCTCTCTCACTGGGTCAAGGCACCCCCTTTACAGATATCTAAGCAGGATGTGGCATTTCTGTGCACAGAGCTCTCTTGGCATTGAAGGATGGCTCAGAGCTGGTGGGAGTGTGTAAGTTCCAAATGTCCACTTTAAAAGGAATCTGTCAGATTTTGGGGAGTGCAAGCTCCATGACTGCCATCCTTATCCCTGTTTTACTACTTAAGTAGTCACTTACACAGAACAGGCATAGAAACGTTTTGCACAAAGCTTTGGCACAACACCCTCCAACTTTCTACACACTCCTGTTGTCCAGTTAAGTAGCCCATCATTATGAATGTATTGGGAAGGGGCACTGAAAACTGCTGCAGGTATCTGCAGGCACCTCTAGGTACCTGTATGTTATACTCATGTAAACAACGACTTTGCGGCGCTAAACAAGTAGTTGTTTATATTATTAGGACTTTGTTGTCTGTATTGTGGCAGATTCATTTCCCATACTATTAATCTACAAGCGCAGATCAACAGATTTCATGTTATACTCATGAACAGCTTGTTTTTGCTGGGTGTAGAGACAGAGAGATAACAGGCCCAGAGCGTGTACCTTTAAAAACAATTCTGCAATGTCAGCTCCCATCAGGCCTTGCATCCCCGATACCATACATTTTTTTTTACAATTATCAATGATATCCCAGATTTTAAAGAAAAGTGCATTTTACAAATAATCTGGAGTATTCATGCCAGATAAAAAGCAACAGTAGGTGAAGCTTGCAAAAGAAAAATGGAAAGGTTCCATTTGCCCCAGGAGCTGAACATCTTACAGTCCTGACTTCTTTACATGCCAAGGATCTATTGATGTACTTTGATTGAACAGCACATGTAAGCATTCCAGCTTAATTAACAACTTGTAACTGGGACTATGTGTGACATGATATACCAATTTAGGTACAACAGGTCAGCACTAACGTATTCTAATTTAAAAAAAAAAAAATACTGGCAAATGTAGAAGGGAAATGAATGGGATCAACAGATGAACAGACTTTTGTAGAAGTAAGGCAAGGAGACCATAAAAACAAGAAATTAAAGTAACACTAAACTCAGGAGTTAAATCTTAAAAATTATGCATGGAGGAGAAAGGTGTGCAACCGCAGCCAGGGGCATCTTATCCCTGCACCTCTAGATTTAAAGTGACACTAAACTCGGGAGTTAAATCGTAAAATTAATTCAAGTACCTTAACTATTAACAAAAATGTAGCTTATTTGTGTATCACTCAGCTGTAGATCCTCAAATTATCTCAAATCCTCTCCAGGACTTCTCTAGAGTATCTCCCATCCTCTGGAACTCTTTACCCCAACCTGTCCATCTATCTCTCACCTTGACTGTCTTTAGGTGTTCCCTAAAGACTCATCTCTTCAGGGAAGCCTATCCCACCTCAACCTAACCACTGAACTATCACTTACTCAAACACTTCATCCCCACACAGCTACCTCCTCATGTATCACTTCCCCCTCCCCTTTTAGATTACGAGCCCCCAGAGGTAGGGCCCTCCTTACCATCATGTCCTGAATTGTGATTGTAATGTCTTCCTTTTATTGTAAAGCGATGCGCAAACTGTTGGCGCTATATAAATACTATGTAATAATAATAATAATAATTGGTACTGACACTGTCTTTCCTTCTGGAGGGTGGCTACTTTTGATCCCCATGGTCTCTGTGTGTGTTGTAAAGTACCCCCATGTGACATCACTGAATAAATAGAACCAAAAAGCCCTGTAGTATAAAGCACAATTAGGGCCAGCATTTCCACTAGACAAACTAGACAGCTGCCTAAGGCGTACTGCCACCTAGGGCGCAGCCAGAGCCGGACCCTTTCGGTGCCACCGACATATGTCATATAAGCGATTACTGGATGTCGGTGGTAAGCTGGGGAGGAGAGCAGCGATAGTCCATTCGTGTTCTCCTCCCGTTCCACTGCGGATTGCATCACTTCCAGTCCCGTAGCTGTCATTGCTCGGCTGCTGAAGCCAGACAATAAGCTATTGGAGTGCAATCATCACTCCGATAGCTTATTTACAGTGAAAAGGTGACACTAGGGTCTTCTGGACCCCTAGTGTCACCTTAAAGAGTACCTGTCACTGCTAATATGCTATCACATAGGGAGCTTATATAAGTCCCTCTATTTGGTAGCAATGAAAGTAAAGTAAAAAAAGAAAAAGTTTAAAAAAATAACATTAAATAAAATAAATGTATAAATAATAAAAAAATGTTTAAAGTCCCCCGAGAGCATGTATGCATTCAGGTAAACATACATCAAGTGCACCTACTTATGGAAACGACGATCGTGCTACACATGTTGGGTATCGCCGCATGCGCCACAGTGAGAGCAATAATTTTAGGGGCTTTTAAAGTGTCAAACTGGAAAAAGATGGCAACCGCATGAATCTATAACCAGCCTTTATAGCAGGGCGCACATGGGAAGGCTTACAACAATACAAAACACAAAAAGATCCCCAGCGCACCTGCCAGCTAGCCTGCAACAAAACGAATTACCCTGTCAACAGTATGCGTTGAAATCAGAGGTTTTAGTTGCACAAACCTTTGGCCAAAAATATGTGGAAGCCACACTGCCGCGCCAAGGCACCTCTGCAAAGTGTGGTCCTAACTCTATTTATTTGAGTCTCCAAGTGTGAGCATATTAATTAATTTGATAGATTCAATGCAGATGTGCCTGGGAGGCAGCCTACTCCTCCTCAAAAGGTGCAGGGACGCACTAGGGGCCCAGCAACCAAAAATGCACGCTGGGACTCCCAGTGCGCCCCCCACATCAAAAATAGTCAAACTAGAAAAAGATGGCAACAGCATGAATCTATAACCAGCATTTATAGCAGGGCGCACATGGGAAGGCTTACAACAATACAAAACACAAAACGATCTCCAGCGCACCTGCCAGCTAGCTTCAATCTATCAACTTCATTAATATGCTCACACTTGGAGACTCAAATAAATAGAGTTAGGTCCACACTTTGCAGAGGTGCCTTGGCGCGGCAGTGTGGCTTCCACATATTTTTGGCCAAAGGTTTGTGCAACTAAAACCTCTGTTTTTAACGCATGCTGTTGACAGGGTAATTCGTTTTGTTGCAGGCTAGCTGGCAGGTGCGCTGTGGATCTTTTTGTGTTTTGTATTGCTTTTAAAGTGTCGCCTATGGACAATTTGGGCTACTGAATTTTGCAGTGTGGAGGGGCCTGTAGCCAGGGCTCGGAGATGCCGTGCTCAGATTGGATCCATAGAATAAGCCATGTGCTTGCGCCAGCTGCCCCAGTCCGCATGGAGAAAGTCAGCCAAGTGCCACTGGCCGGGTGGGCTGTCACTGGTACCAGAGTTACTGGGCTCACTAGACTCCTCCTGTAGCGGCTGCTCCGGGGGTGAGTGGAGGAGTCATTTGTTATTGCTGTAGAAGAGGAGTGACTGCTGGAGGGCCGCTGTTACTGTCAGGGCCAGAGAGGGAAAAGCTGGAGAAAGGAGGGGAGCCCTGAGAGATGTGTGTTTTATTTGGTGCTATGGCGGTCCTTAGGCATTGGGGTTTTTTATGGGGGCTTGAGGCATTGGGGTACTCAGGTATAAGGGGAGTGTTATGGGGTCCTTAGTTATAAGGGGTATGTTATGGGGTTCCTGAGGTATCAGGGGTGTGTTATGGCTATCCTGAGGGATAAATTGTGTGTTATGGGGGTCCTTAGGCATGTGGGATGTTTTATGGGGGTACTTAGGCATGACGGGAGTGTTATGAGGGTCCTTAGCTATGAGGAAACTGTTATTGGGGTCTTACGGTGTAAAGAGGGTGGGAGTCCTTTGGTATGGGGGTTCTTATGGGTGTTTTATTGCCGTTCCTGAGGTATGGGGTGTGTTATGGCAAACCTGAGGTAAGGGTGGGGGGGG